ACAACAAATCTACACAAAATAAGCTTTAAATAGAAAAAAGATGTTTTTTCTCTGCTAACATCTTTTCTGTAAGGAACTGCAACGTAAGTCAGTATAAAAAGCATGATTTCTCAGCAGAAATCTCTTTTATGCACTCTAAAATGTCTTCAATGCATTTCTATAAGAGTTACATTTTCCAGAGGTTCCAGTTATCCCACTTTTATTACATTCTTGTGTTTGCTCATTTAGTGTGTCCCTTGATATTCTTTTTTGCAGTAAGATGCTTATATTGCAGTCAGAAACACCAGGCTTCAGTTCAAGTTTGCAGACTCATGTTCCAGTTAAGTGTCTACAATCAAGCACCTTCTACTGAAGAGATCTACCCTCACTGAGCTTCACCCGTGTTTTCACGTTCCTTCCGATTGAGGGCAATTGCTTCAGTAGCCTGCAGATGGAAAAGTCTGCCCTATGCCAAGATGGGTTTTAACAAGTAGAGCAACCTACTACATTTTGTATTTTTCCTTGCTTGCTTAAGCAGAGTTTCAGATGGTGGAGCTGACAAATCCTTCATTTCAGTTCCAAGGAGAGAAGTAGAGAAAACTACAGCAGTCAGGTCCTCCTCCAAAAAGTCAGGAGTTTGTGCTTTTCCAAGCCAAATGGAGAAAGTCAGCAACCATATACTCATCTGGAAGGTTTAGGGAAAAACAGAAATGTCTTGATCCTTGTAAGATACAAGCTTTTGGTTATTTCAGAATGGAAACATGCAAGATCAAACCCTTATTAGACTGTCCATGTTGCCAACCCCACACACAAAATCCTCATAAGAATCAGAACTCCAGTCATGAGAAGTCTTTCAAAAGAACAAATGCTGAAGAATACAGATACTTTTAGATACTTGCATAGTGCCATTACTACTATCGCCATGTTCCTTATAATCTTAGGCCAGTGCCACACAACCTTTTACTCTCACAGGCCGGATGGGCAGTGCCCCATTTGTCCATGGGGTGGATCCTGCCAGTGGTTCCAATCCAGCAACAGGCTGGGCCCAGTAGGCACCATCCAGCCACATGGAGGTGGACGAGGCGGGGGGGCAGCGCAGCCACAACCCAGCCCTACAGTGGAAGGGAGTAGGGGGACAGTAAGAAGGCATGGGTCAGCCCAGATCCAGATGTGAGTGGTTGTGGGGGGAAGTGTGTCCCTGCTGTCACTGACAGTGAGGGCTTGGAGTTTGGGAACTTGACAAGAGGGACAGTGACCATATTAATGGCCACTGCTCCCCTACTGCCAATATTCCCATCCCATAAAGGAGCCCCACAGACCTATGTGGACCCACAGATGCTATGGCTCCACAGGCCACATCTGCTCAACATTTGAGCATCCATCTTAGTTGTATTCATCCTCACATTGCCTTTGTGAAGGGGGTGAAATGCTTTTAATTTCCATTAAATAGATAAACAGCAAAGGTACACAATAGACAAGTCATTTACCCAAAGTAACACAAAAAGTTTGTGGCCCTCCAGACCCCCAGCCTACTACAACCTGACTACTTGGAACTTTATTTCCCTTGCTTATACTTTTTGAATTTTTAAAAATAGTTTAAAGAAGCTGTAGGTCTTCTGTTTTTTTAACTTTAGTATTTTTCAGATTTTTTTCTACAACCATGAAGGCTAGAAACTTAGCATTTCGAGTCATTAAAAAGTAAGACTTGAATAAAAACATTGAGACTCTCTGATGAGGCCAAACAAGCCAGAACAAAGTGAGGGTACGTGTGCAGGGGGAATCCAAGTGGGGAGCAGTGGTACAGTTGCACCCTTCTGCAGTGAAGGTCATGTGCTGGTGGCTCCATTTCTCTGTGGCCCTGGATGCCTGGGCTGACTGCAGTGTCCTAAAGCATGACTGGAGCCTCAGGCTACAGTGGGACACCTGGGGCAACAAATGGGGAACAAGTTAAAAACTAAGTTAGTTAGTCAGCAATAGTGGACTTTGAAAATTCCAAATACCACTTACATTTTAGGCCCAAAATGCCCAAGAGCAGCAGAGGCTTAGAGAGAGTGTTCATACTAAACTCAAAACAACCAAGAGGCATAGTCTTCTTCACTTTTTAAGAACAAACACACCCTAAAAATAACATGCACAGCCTTATACCTTCAAGGCATGAGCTAAAACAGGGGTTGGCAACCTACGGCACGTGTGCCGAACGTGGCACGTGGCATGGTTTTTATTGGCACGTGGGCTGCTTCCAGCCCTAAGGGGCAGGAAGAGGCGTGCCCAGATTGAGTAGCACATGGCTGCCCAGGAACAGCCTTGTGCTGCTGCAGACTCCTGCATTAGATAGGCTTGCCACCACTGGACCCCAGCCCCGGAACACCGACCCCAGCCAGGTAAGAGCTCCTGGTCCCAAACCTAGCCTGGTACCGGCACCAGCACCGGCCCGGGGACTGTCCCTGCCCCGATGGCCCCAGCCCTGGGCTGCTGGCCGGCAGACCCCAGCTGGCACCACCACTGCTGCAGGCTCTGGCCACGTACTGCCAGCAGGCTGGCCCCAGCCAGCACCATTGCCACTGCGGGCCCTGGCCCAGCGCAAGCACTAAGCCAGGACCACCCCGGTGCTACAGAGAGCCCTGGCCACATGCTGCCAGCGGGTGCAGCCAGCACCACCACAGCCATCAGGCCAGAGCCACTGGCAGCACCGGCATGAGGCCGGGATCCAGGCCTGTGGACCTGCACAGGCCCCGGCTGCATCCCAGTGCTGCCATCGGACCCAGCCCCAGGCCCAGCCAGCACTGCCTCCACCCACCCCAGCCCAGCGCTGCTGCTGGGCCAGTGCAGGGCTGGGATGAGGCTGGGGCCCCGGCTCATCTCAGCGCTGCTGACAGCCCCAGCCACACACTGCCGGCGAGCCAGGCCCCAGCCCCATCTGGCGCTGCCAGTTGGCCCAGCTGGCACCTCCACCACCACTGGTGGGTCGGGACCATCCCCGTGGGTCCAGCCCCAGCCACATGCTGACAGCAGGCCGGGTCCTGCCCGGCACCTCCACTGCCTGCCCCAGCACACTGCCACTGCTGGGCTGGGGCCGTCTGCAGTGCTGGGATGAGGCCAGGGCCAGGGCTGGGGCCCCATCTTAGCACTGCAGACAGCCCCAGCCCCACCACGTACTGCCAGCGGGTCTGGCCCCAGCCAGCACCACCACCACCGCTGGTCCCAGCCACTGCCAGGCCAGGGCTGGGGCTGTGGACCTGTGCAGGACCTGGCCCCATCCCGGCGCTGCTGACAGTCCCAGCCCCAGCCACATGCTGCTGCCAGCAAGCCCAGCCTCAGCCCTTGCCACCAGCCCCAGCCCAGTGCTGCTGCCAGGCCTGGGCCATCAGCAGTATCAGGCTAGGTCCAGGGCCAGCGCTGCAAACAGACCCCAGCAGCCAGATAAGGCTGGGCTGGGCTGGGCCCAGGCCCCAGCCGTGGCAGTGGTGCCAGCGGGCCTGGCCCCAGCACAGTGCCACTGCCAGGTCAGGGCCGTCAGCAGCATCTGGATGGGGCCGGAGCCATGGACCTGCGCGGGACCCAGCCCCATCCCAGCACTGCTGAAGGCCCCGGCCACGTGCTGCTGACGAGCCCTGGCCCTGCATAGGCCCAGTGCTAGCTAGCACCACCACCACGGGCCCCAGTCCTGCACGGTCCCAGGCTCAGCCCGGTGCTGCCGCCAGCCCCATCCCAGCACTAGCGACAGCCCAGCTCCAGCCCCAGCCCCGTGCTGTTGAGTGGCCCTAGCCCCACAGCCCCAGCCTCTCACTGCCAGTGGGCCCCGGCCCTGGCCCCAACGGACACAGAGCCAGCACCTGCAGTCTTTCTGGAGCCCAGGGACAGGAGATAGCCAGGGCCGGGGTGGGGAAGCAGCAGTACTTTGCAGCCTCCCAGCTACAGCCGGCCCAGGTTTGTGGTAGCTGCTGACAGCCATGGAGCCTGGGCTGCTCCCAGCAGCCGGCTGGGAGGATGGAAGCCCTGCTGCAAGCAGCCCAGGCTCCATGGCTATCAGCAGCTACCCAGAACCTGGGCCGGCTGCAGCCGGGAGGCTGCAAACAGCTGCTGCCTCCTGGCCCTGGCCCCAGCTGCCTCCCAGCCCCAGATCCAGCCCTGGGCTCTGGGAAGACAGCAGATACCGGAGATGCTCCCCACTGTGCTGCCCTTGCTGCCACTTCTGCAGAGCAACACATGAAACCTGGCATAGCAGGGGGCACAAAAAGCTGCCTGTCACTCCAAGCTCCCCTCTGCCCTGGCCACACTTACCCTGCAGGCAGGGGCAGCAGTGAGGGGCTCAACCCTGTGTACTGCACACGTTGCTCCCGTGCACACTGGAGAAGTGTGACCCGGGCAGCACAGCGCTTGCAGCAGCAGACAGCTTCCCTGTGCAGTCCTTCAGTGCATTGCCACTCTGGGTTGCACACGCTGCGCTTGGGGCACCCAGGGGAGGGCAGCAGGGCTGGGAGTGCAGCATGTGCAAGGGAAGCACAGCAGGGAGCATCACCGGTGTCTGCTGCCTCCCCAGAGCCGGGTCTGGGAGGCAGCTGGGGCTGGGGCAGGAAGGCAGCAGCTGTTTGCAGCCACCTCCTGGCTGCAGCTGGTCCAGGTTCTGGGTAGCTGCTGATAGCCATACAGCATGGGCTGGGGGGCAAGGGGCAGCAAGCAGGGCATCCTGCCACGTACCCCTGCCCTCATTTTGTTTTTCTGGTGTACCGGCACTCTGGCACCTTCCAAGGTAGATATTGTGGGTTTTTCAGCACTCCAGCCAAAAAAAAAAAAAAAAATTTGCCTACCCCTGAGCTAAAAGCTAGGGTCCCTGACTTATAATAGGAGCCATGTGGCTGAACCACCCACTGAAGCCAATGGTTCTCTGCACTAGTGTAAGAGAGTGGTTTCCCTACTTGTTTTTTTTTTTTTTTATCTGCAGACCCCTAAAATGTTTCAGATAGAGGTGAGGACCTATTTGAATTGTAAGTGTGTTGGCTACAAAGCATCAACTCACAGGATCATCATAACATTCTAATTTATTGGACGGATGCAGAAGTCAGACCATAAACCTTGGTGCTGATCCCCTCAAGCACATGCACATACACTCACAGTAGCTAGCTATAAACACTAAGCACCTATGCTTAACATATACCTATCCCCAAGCACTGGGGTCTGCCGTTAATAGCCAGCTGAGGCTTCTTTCAATGCGATGTTGCTTCAGAAGGGGTTCACCGGCTGGTCCTTCTGGCTGGACAGGCAGGGTGCTGGTCAGGTCAAAGAGGGCACCATTGGGGGTCAGTCTTTGCTGCTTTTTATCCCTCTCTGGCAGACTTTGGTGACCCCCCCCAATTTTCAGGCCTACCCGATCCAGGAGTTGTTGACCTCTAGGGACGTCCCTCTTGGTAGCTGCTGGATGGCAGGTGTCAGCCCCAGGGGTCATGTCCGCAGGTACGTGCAGTCTCAGGAGTATGTTGATGAATTTTGATTGATTCACTGCCTTGATGAATAGAGCTCTGGAAGTGGTTGAACAGCAGGTATTTCAGCCCCAAGGGTCTGTTTCCAGCATTGACTAGTTCAAACGGGGGCTTCCATACCTTTAACAATGAAGTTTCCAGGAATTCCTGGCTCTTTATTGATTCTTTCCTCTCCTTGGTCTCTGATTTTGTAGGTGTTAATTGCCGCTCATTAACATGCTTATCCAGACTAGTAACTGTGTTACACAATCAACCATGATTCATTCACGGACCTGCTCCATACAGACACTCCTGCTCTTGCTAACATTGTTACATGGTACAACTTACTTTTAAACTTAAAGTACATTTATAAAAGCATCTACAAGCTCTACTTTCACTACAAATACACCTTATATAAAAATAATAATGGTATAATAAAAGAAAGAGAGAGAGGAAGGAAGACAAGGTAGAAGAGAGAAAGCATCCCCAAAAGGGGGCAAAGAGTAAAAGAGGGGCTTTTGCCATGTGGAGAAGCTTCATATTTAGGGGGTGGGGGGGCAGACAAAAGGGTTTCTTGCTACAAGAGCGTGTATTCACATACTTTTGATTGATCATAGTTACCTTTCACAGACCCCTTAGACATAGACTCATAGATTGTTAGGGGCTGGAAAGGACCTTGCAGATCATCAGGTCCAGCCCCCTACTCTAGGCAGGAACTGGGATTAGGTGCTGTCTAGTCTCCTCTTGAAAACCTCCAGGATAGATGACTGCACCACCGCTGGAGTGAGTTTATTCCACAATAATTGGGAGCAATTGGACACCCCAACTGTGAAGAAATTTTTCCTGATATTAAGCCTGAAGCAGCCTTCCTGGAGTTTGTATCCATTTGTCCTGGTCTTCCCCAGGGGTGCCCTAGTGAACAGTTACTCACCAAATTCCTGATGCACTCCTTTGATATAGAGATAAGCCGCTATCAAGTCACCTCTCAACCTTCCTCTCTTTAGGCTAAAGAGCCCCTGGTCCCTCAGCCTTTCCTCGTATGGCTTGCCTTCCAAGTCCCTGATCATACGGGTGGCTCTTCTCTAGACCCTCTCAAGCTTCTCCACATCCTTATTGAAGTGCAGCACCAAGAACTGGATGTGGTACTCCAACTGCGGTCTCACCAGTGCTGAGTACAGCGGGAGTATCACTTCCTTAGTTTTACACGAGATGCATCGGTTGATACATGCCAGTGTGTTATTTGCCCTGCTGACCACCACCTCACACTGATGGCTCATATTCACGCGATGGTCAACCATGCCCCTAGGTCCCTTTCAGCCGTGGTGCAAGTCAAGCTGTCACCACAGAGCCTGTATGTATGCTGAGCGTTGTTTGCCCCAGATGGAGCACCTTACACTTGGAAGTGTTAAACTTCATCTGGTTCTGGTCTACCCAACTCTCGAGTCTGTCCAGGTCTGCCTGTATCTTCAACCCATCTACTGGCGTGGCAACACTGCCCAGCCCCATAACCTGGTGTTGTCCATGAACTTGGCTAGCAAGCTTTTCACTCCCCCATCCAAATCATTGATAAAGATGTTGAAAAGCATTGGTCCAAACACGGACCTCTGAGGAACACCACTATCCACTTTGCCAGGACAACACAGATCCGTTCATGAGAACACTCTGGGTCCTACCCTGTAGCCAGTTTCCCACCCACTGAACCATCGAGAAGCTGAGCCCACAATCTTCCAGTTTTCCCACAAGGATATCGTGGGATACTAGATCAAAAGCCTTTCGGAAGTCTAGCTATATAACATCTACCTCATCTCCCATGGCCAGGTGGTGAGAGACCTGTTCACAGAAGGAGATCAGATTGGTAAGACAAGACTTACCAGTGACAAAGCCATGCTGACTGTTGTTCAGAATCTTACCTTGCACAGCATATCACACATAGATTCTTTAATGAGCTTTTCCAGGATTTTCCCTGAGATAGAAGTTAGGCTGATTGGTCTATAGTTGCCCAAGTCCTCCCTCTTCCCCTTCTTGAAGGTGGGCACAATGTTGCCCCTCCTCCAATGCTCAGGGGTGTCCCGTGTGCCAGGAATTCTGAAAGAGCTTTGCCAGGGATCCTGCGATGACCTCAACCAGCTCCTTCAGCATTCTCAGATGGAGTCCATATGGTCCTGCTGACTTACAACGTCTAGCTTTTCTGGCTGGTTTTGCACCGACTCAGCACCCACAGTGGGGAGGCTGCCATCCCCAGCATGCCCCCTATAAGCCTTATCTCGTTTGTCTTTCCCCCAGTTCTGGGGAAATCAAGTGGGCATTCAGGAATTCAGTTTTTTCCTCAATGTCGGTTACCAGCTATCCCGAGGTGTTAAGCAAGGGTCCCACACTTCCATTTGTTTTCCTTCAAATGCTTACATACCTAAAGAAGGACTTCTTATTGTCCTTGACTCCCATGGCTAATGTAAATTCAGTCACTGCTTTGGCTTTCCTGATCATTTCCCTACAAGTGCTAGCCACGGACGGTGTGCACCCCATTCACCTTCCCTTCCTGGTCCCGCATCGCCTCCCTTACTAATGCTCTGAGCCTTTCAAAGTCAGCATTTTTGAAGTCCAGGACTTCAGTCCTGCTGGTTGATTTGTCTACCTTGCAGCGGATGGTAAACAGTTTGGTTCTCTCAGCTTGCCACCCACCCCTGCCCCTTGCCTCTCCCACCCCACAGCTTGACCCAGAGGGTTTCAAGCTTCTTATCTTTGGAGCCAATGTCAGCCTCCAGAGAGGTGTACTGCTGTCTCACGTACAAAGAGAGGGGATTTGCTTACCACAGGTTGAAAACCACTGGCATAAGGAATTTCTCAAATAGATTAAAAGACATGAAAACATGGACTTCTACAATTCTGTTTCCTTTGATTGCTAGACACGTCAGGTAAAACTTAAGATTAGTAAAATGAACCTGCTATCCTGTTTATTTATACAGGGCTTGGTATGATCAGTTTCATATTTTTACATTAGTTGAAAGTTTCATTTACTAGTATACTTCTATCTTGGCGTTTCATTAGTCTGAGCTCCAAAAAGCATACCAAAGGCAACATTTAGATTGCACCTGCTAGCACAGCCGCACTAATGCAATGTATTTACTTTTCTGTTGCTTTCCAAGTTTTAAACAGATGCCTTATTGAGGTGTCCTGAACACCCCCCCATCCCTTTTTGCTGTTCTGGGTGTCACTCCATCAGACTGAACTGCTTCTAGAATCAAAATGATTACCATGCGAGAGAAGCAGCTTGTGAGTGACAATTTCAAGGGAGCTGAGCTACACAGGCCAGTGATCACACCCAATGCCAATATCCTAAGAAAGAACAACTGTCACAAGCCATGACTCCTTTCCCTGCTTTCTACTGAACTGGCCAAGAGATCCTTCTCTGAAAGCAATGGAAATACAGAAATCTAAACCTGAACTGCATACAACTCCCCCATACAAAGGCAGACAGGTAGGGAAGTCTGGAATTTGCCTCAAACCCCAAAGACAGACTCTGAGGGCCCCAAGACTTTGCCACCCAGCAGTGAGTATGTTTGTGTATTCTCTGCTGTATGCAACTACTCTTGTAAATATTGTCCAACTCATAATATCCCAATAAAATGTGGTGTACATAGTTTGGAGGAACTTGTTTTGGCTTCTCTTGTACTTTTCCAAATAAAATAAAAGCCCAGAGACATCCCAGGTGTAACAGCCTCACTAGCATAAATAGCACCTACTGCAGCTGTTTGTCCCTACTAAACTCAGCATAATAATAGGCTTATAGCCACTGGCAAAGCTTTATCTAGACCAGGGGTGCTCAACCTCCAGCCTATGGGCCAAAAGCAACCCAGGGAGCCACCTCATCTGGCCCAGAGCTCCCAACAGGTTCAGAAATTTGGTAGCAGGGGAGCAGTGGCCATTACTACAGCCACCCTCCCCCACCTGCCAAATTCCCAAACCCTAAGCCCCACAAAGCTGGCCGGTGCTCCCTTCCTCCCTGTGGGCCCAGGTTGGGGCCTGGCCACAACCAGCCCCCCACTAGACCAGATGAAGCTCCTTTCCACTGCAGGCCACATTGGAGCTGACCCCCTTCTGCATGATCAGATGATGCCTGCAGCACCTGCCCTATATGCCATATCAGGACCTTTGGCTGGATCCAGCCCACAGATGAACAGGACACTACCCATCAGGCCTAAAGGGGAAAAAAGGTTAAGCACCATGGGTTTAGACTACACCTAAGAATAGTGAGGTATACACCTAGAGGAATAAAGTGGATGTTACCATTTCTCTCCCTATGAGAGAGCGCGCATAGAGAAAAATCAAGAGAAGAGCATTGTCTCACATCTATGCCTCAGGCCCCCAGATGCATAGCAAAGCCCACTCCAAGGGCACAGCAAAAGAGACAGATAAAGCTGTCTTCACCCCATCCAAAGCCCTGCAATATGTGCACAGAAGCCTAGAGGTCAGCCCTCTCAGTGTGAAGCAGAGGGGAGAAAACAAAAAAAATCCAAAAACCAAAATAGATTCCCAGCCAGAGTGCTATGGATCATTTCAAGGATGCTGCCTTTAAAAAAAAAAAAAAGAAAGAAAGAAAGAAAAGAAAAGAAAAAAAGAGAGAGAGAAATTTAAAAAAACAGAGAAATGAAAAAAAATAGAGGGCAGATCTCTGCTCCCCAGGTCAGGCCATGCAGGCACCAGCTGCTGGACAGGGGAAGATTCCCAGCCAGGTGCCATGGCTCCATCCACGAGCGCAGAGTGGGAGGTCGAAAAGGGCCCTCAAAGGCTGGCACCAGGCGTGCCATCATAAATCCCAAGGTAAAACCCAG